TTCATGGAAGGCGTAGTTGAATGGGCAGACAAGCCACTGGCTAGGTGCACCTACTAGGCACCTGTGCATGTTATCCTGTGCCCCAGGATTGAAGCAAATTTGACTGGGAGAGCCACAGTAACTTCACCTCCTGAGCCTTAGTTTCCTCTCCATGCCCTTGACATCAGAGATAATACTTGACTGGCAGAAAGTAATCGATTATTTCTTATTGTTACTGCTTTTATTACCTGGGTGAGATGTTGATGTGGTCAGTATCTGTGACTTTGTTTCTTTTTATAGTCTCAGCACCTGTTGATGAAAAGCATTTGGGGCTGATAGACCCTCTGCTTAATCTATAGAATGAGTGAGGCTCCCCTCTCAGGGTTCTGCACTGGACCCTGAATGGCCCCAATACCCTAGGTGCTGGGCTTCCAGCTGGTGCAGCCTTATGGCACTTATTCTCTTCTAATGATGGGTGCTCATTAACTACATTTATTTTAGCGATTTTCCATCAGAGCGTTCAAAGGCACCTTCAACTCACCTCCTCTGCTGTGTTAGATGTTCTGTGTTGATCATAAAGAACAGTACAATCTCTGTAAGAAGAGATTGGCCACCAAGGCAAAAAGGAGAGACGGGAGAGCTCCTTCTGGATCTACTATTAGTGTTCAGATGGAACAGACTGAGCTTTCCATTCTCCTGGCTGTCTAAGATGTATGAATGAGTAAACTTCCCATGGTGACAATCCCTTTGTTTAGAATTTCCTGTGTTCTTGCTCCATGCCCTGACACTTGCAAGTTGAAAACTGCCCCAGAGAACACATTTTATAGCTCAACAAAGGATACATATTTTTACATGCTACCCTAGTGAGTCACCTTTGCTTCTCATACTTTTTGATTCAAAATTGCTTAAATATGTCCCTCGGCGGGTCTCTATGTCAGATGCCTCCCTGTCCTGTTTTAGGGCCATATTTGCAAACATTAAGCTGTTTCAAGGCTGGTTTTGAGGCAAATTTTTAGCCAAAGTGAGTTAGAGTCGTTGCAGGTAATGTACCTGGCCTCATGGGCACAAAGTAGGTGTTTAATAAATGCTGGTCCCCACTGTTACTAATGAGCTTAAATTAGCTGAACTCATGCCTTTGAAATTCAACCTTCTAATTTTTAGAAGAAATCTTTTTCTTGGTCGTGATTTTTGTCTAGTTGGAAAAGAGAAGAATCAGCAAAATGGATTTAAGCAATTCCTAATGTCACAAGCCTGACACCCGAGACTCTACCTAGTACAGGATACATAGGGTTGCCCATGCTTGGTTTGCATTGCTTTGGGTTTCTTCTTCAGAGACTGTATCTGCCTTCTGTCAAAGTTTCAAAGAGACCCATCTGGGGAGCACAGAGACGTTAATGATAAGGTCTCCCCAGCAGCCCGCGGTTGCCGTGGCCTGGTGGTGATGTCATGGGGATTAAGGCATGTTATCTGTAATAAGAATAAACTCCTGCTGCTGAGTGCAGCAGTGCAGCAGCAATCTTGGGCTGGGCACGAGACGCTCGGGGCTTATTTTAGACCCGAAAGAAAGCAGGCAATTATCATGTTCTTTAACTATAATCAGCCGAACAGGATACAGGTAGCCACAAAATGGAGTTATTTAAAACAGTAACAAAATCACTTCAAAAAGGGCAACAATCTGGAAGTCTCTCTTTCTGCAACATCTAGTTAAAGCTGCCTAAGCATGGAGAAGAGAGAGAAGGTTTGTTTTGTAACCTCCTCAGTGGCAATCAGATCAGGAAAGCTTATTTGTGAAATGAAAGGCAGGAACCCTGGCCTGGAAGCTGCCCTAGAGCAATTGAGTTTGGACCCAACAAGTAAACTGGAGCCTTTAAAAATGATCCCAGGAGAATCCTGAGCTTCCAGCCATCTGTTTGTCATGGTGGTTACCATGACAAGGGGCTCTCACTAGCCTGGCCAGCTAGTCCAGCCTGGTCTGGTGACCCCGTCACAGCACCTCAGCTTGGGTTGGAAGTTGATTCTGGATATTGATTATGAGACCCTATCTTGGGTAGCATTCCCTGTGACATTCCAATAAGACTCTGGGTTGGGGCACAGGGCTGAATTCTAAGCATTTCCTAGAACCTGCTACTGAGCAGAAGGCAGAGTGAGGTGGATTCAGCATGACCCCCATCTAATTCTGGCTCTGCCACTTGTTAGGTGTGTGAACTTGGGCACATCTTTAGGCTAGCCGAGACTTGGTTTGCCCCTGTGTGAAATGGGGATGATTAGAATCTCTCCTGTAGGAACATGCTTAGAAGAGTACCTTGCTCACAGTTGCTAAATAGACTTCAGTAGACATTAGCTGTTGTTACCCTGTCCTCAGCTATGAAGCTCATGGACAGAAGTTGCCGCATCATCTGCTGATAACCCCAGCATGACTTCTGAAGGTGTCTGTTACTTCAGTAAGAAGTGTGAATTTTACATTGCATCATATATGCCAATGAGCTAAGAAAACCAGGAGGCCTACCCATTCTCCAGCCAGCTGGGTAAAGCCTGAGTCAATTCCCAATGCATTTAACACCACCCGCATTAATTCATAATGGCAGTGAAAACCAGACTAATAAGTTATAACAGCAGCTGCAGCCCTGCCTTCTGTTGAATGCTTCCTCTGTACTAGGCACTGTGCTAAAGGCAGTACATGTGTATAATCTCACTTAATCCTCACGACCACCCTATAAGGCAGCCATTATTCTCACTATTTTACAGATGAGGAAACTGAGGCACAAAGAGGCTTAAAAAGAATTGTAATAAGTGGGTGAGTTAGGATTTGAGCTCAGGTCACTGACTTCAAAGCTAGCTTGCTAATCATTAAGTCACACTACCAGTCACTTGGGCCTTTGGGAACAGTGTAGCTTTAAGAGTCAAAAATCTAGCAAAGAACAAAATTAGGCCTTCTGTCATAACAAGGCTAGCACATTGCATAGTATATTTCAGTATACTTTCACATGACTGATTAGTTAAATCTGAGAACATCTCTGGAAGTCACTTTATAAATGAAAAAATAAAGCCTCAGAAGCAACCTGCTATTATAGATGACAACCAACCTTTTAAGCCAAGGCCACAGTGCATCCATGTCTACAAGACCCCAAACACACTCAAGTCCCACTCAACCCATGCTGCCTCTCACCAGCTCTGACCCAAATTCCAGCTGCAGAGATAGAGTTGGGCAGTAGGAAAAGGATAAAGCTAATAATAATTCTTGCCAAATCCTAGAAAGCCCTTCCGGGGCACCTGCCGAAATCCACTGTTGAGGATGCAGACTGTGACGTGGTAGGCCAGTCAGGGGCCAATTAGACTTGTCCATCCTGGCCTGCAGTTGATTTTGTGGCTGAATTCGTGTCAGGGCTGTGTCAATGATGAGCATTTCTGTGAGAAGTTTGTTCAGGGAGTTCCCTGAGCCAGACACTTGGCTGGTTCATAGGCTTCATTTATCTCTCAGTATACACTGGTTCTGCTTGCATCTGCTGGGAGGAAAAAAGCCAGAGGACAGTCAGCAAGACTAGAAATGTCCTGAAGAGGAAGGGGCTTTGGGGGACTTTCCAGGAGATTGTGTGACACTGGTACCCTCTTGGGCTTTGCTGCCTATAATGCCTGTGTGGTGCTGGTCAGGAGCTGGTTTCCATCTCAATTTGGTCAAGTGGCCAGTTTTCTACCTGGTGCCCATAGATGCTCTTTGGTTTAATCCGTGTGTGTGATATCTCTAATTTATTGTCTAGAGGGGAAAGCCTTCACATCACATTTTGCAGTTGACCTCTTCAGTCTCAGCTGTGTCATCGACTATTCAAGATTCATGCAATCAGGCAGTCATTCATGCATTCAACCTTTTAAATTGGAACACCTTCTCCATGCTGGGTGCTGTGCTAGGTGTGAAACAGATCCAACCCCAGTCCTGCAGCATGGAACTTCTATTGTAGTGTACATTTCCAGCACAGTGTTAAGTATGCTTCACATTATGCACTGTATTATTTCAGAAAGGTATTCCTGTAGGGAGAATTCCTTCCAGTCATTGAGAAGTTCATGTATTACAGTATTAACATGTCATCTGGCAGCTGTTAACATAGCTCAGGCTGGACTTTAAGTGTCTCTCCTTTGGGGGGCCAGGAATAGTGGGAAGAGGAGCTTGGGGGAGAGACGAAATGCCCGTCTCCTTTGGGATAAAGTGTTCGCTCCATCTAAAAGTTCTTAACTTGCTGCTGGAAATTGCCATTCTTTTTACTTTGTAAAGGTGTTAATAGGAAAGTAAAATATCTGTAAAAATTATAAAGTAAAACATCTTTGTAAGTGAGTAAAGATCATAACTAGGAGGAGAGCTGTATTTTTATCACCAAGGGAGAAAAAGACGTCCATTTTCCTGTTTCATAAACTGCACTGTTTTCGAAAGCATACTTAGTAGTGAGTATACATATGTTCACTACCATGGTGGTGGTAATGGAAGGGGGTTAACAACCAATGAGCCAGCTGGTTTCCAACAAATTGTCAAAGTGCTGGCTTTATCTTGGTCCAAGCCTATTTCCTCGTGCTTAAAAGAGACAGAGGATCCTGCCATTTCTTAACTCAAAGTGGCCCTTCCCAGCTCTCCTTGACCTTGCAGACATGATCCATGTGGATTTCATCAGGGGCCCAGAATTCAGTTTAAGAGAGCATCTTTCTCTGGAGTATCCTGGTCCATGCACGTCATCATTGTTCAAACCAAAATGACTATTTGGTCAAGTTGGGGGGTTTCTTCTCCCAACCCTCCATCCCAACGGTACCTTTATTCCCTTTATTCTTTAAGTTCCAAGTGTGACATGACTGTGTCTCCAGTCCTGGACTTTGCTGTGTCCCTTGCTTGTCACCCTTGTTAGGCCTGCCTTGACTTGTGCTTGTCACTGCTGCACTGGCTGGTGGTGTTAGTGACTGTTCACCTTGCTGGTTGGTCCACAGCATCATCTGGTTCTCGTGTTTTCCCATTTAGTGAAGCTCCTTTCCATTCTCTTCTATAGAATTACCCTTTATGACTATCAAGCCATGTGCAGGGCCAACAAGGAGAGCAGCGATGGTGCCCATGGTCTACTGGATGTAAGTACAGTGCAGTCACTCAGAAAACAACTGCATGTTTTTGTCTGTCCCTGCATGTGAGCATATCTTTTTCTTTGGAGTCATCAAGTTTATCCGTTTCAAAACCATGAATATTTAAATGTGTCAAGTCAAGAAGATCACTTCTGTTTAAACCCAAATCCAGTGATTGTGTGTATGATAAACAGGTCTAAAGTATTTGATGGATTAATGCAGCAACCCCCCATCCTTTTGTTGGATAGAAAAGGGGAGAAGTTGTATCAATTCCCTCATTCTCAAATAAAAGAGAATTTGGTTTGGTTCAACAGAAACCTTCCTTTTAGTTTGTAGTAGAGCAGTTAGCCTATGCCCAAATTCACATTTTGATCAGATTCTCTGCTCTAATCATGCTGCTGCTTTTAACATCATTTTCCCTGGAGCTGATTCCATCCATGATGTCACAGTTGAGGATCAATCAACATAGCTTTGTATCATTAGAAACTGGCTTTCAGATCACCAGAAATTAACTGTGACAATTTACCCCCAGTTTAAAAATATAATTTACAATGTGCAAGCAATATAAATTTGGTCACCAATAACTTGAAAACACAGAAAAAACAGATACAGATACTTCAACATAGTCTGACATATGGGTATAAATATAACCCTTACATGTTATCATTTTGTAAATTCCAAAAAATCAACCTAAAATTTGGTTTGAAGCACAAAATTTAAGAGCCGTTTTGGTTTTAAAATATAAATATACACCTTCTCATTTACAGATGTAAGATCTTGCAAGGGGATTATTTAAAAACCAAATATTTAACACGGTTCTCCTACACTAAGGGAGCAAGGAATGATTCTGAGCTGGGACATTTCTGAGAGGCAACTAGGAACTAAAAATGGGACGATTTGAAAAATACCACTTTTTAGTGAGAATCAACACATATCTCCACACCCAGCTTCCCTAGCCTTAGCATGAGTATTTCCAGATTTAAAATGTTCCCAAGATATGTTTTTATCATTAGGCTTAAGAGCTCAATGGCTTTACCCTTCTGAATGCTAATGTGCATTAAAATTTTTTAATCCTGTATTTACATAATCCCTTTGTTTACCCTGCATTGAGCCAGCATCTGGCAGGGAATGCTTGAGTATCCTCCTCCCACTGCCGCAGCCAAGCCCCCCTCCACCCCCCCACCCCCGCCCCGGCCCCGCCCAGGGCCTCAGGGTGAGCTGCCCCTGTGCCTCCCCCTCTTCCTTCCTTAATCCCTTTATTCATTCTCTCCTCCCACACTATGGAGGACTACTGAAATGTCACTACCCATCCTGGCAGGTACAAAAACACAAAACTGTCCTATGGTCTGACCTCCCTTGGTCCTTTTGAAAGAAAGATGGTTATTTTTCAAGCCATAAGAAGTATAGTGGCAGAACCACAGGATTGCATGGCTGCATTTGGTTTTAGGAAATAGTTAAAAGTTCACATCCTTATCTGACCCTGAAAGCCCTGTGATTCAGGGAATGATGAGGACACACTCAATCGGAGCAAGAGATTTAGTCTGAAATCTGGGTGGGCTGGGAGTAACCCCAGTGGATTGTTGTGTTCTGTACATTTGCTTACTGTCTTGAATAGGCAAGTTTTAAGAATGGTCAGGGGTAAATAAATTTGTCCTTGTTTTATTTGAAACTGGATAATCCTCCCATTCCTAGCTCTAGTCCTTATCATCAAAATGCTTAGGAGGTAGGATTAAGCAGCTGTCACGTCAGAAACCAGGACTGGGCATTTCAATTCCCTGCTACCTGAAGACAACCACAGAAGGTTCTGAGATTTGTCTGGACCTGCAACTTGGGGCTCGGGCTTTGCCAACGTCATTACCTGTCTCTCAGATCCACCCACTGCTCACATATCTAGCATACCTAGGTACAAAGAACCGACTGAGGGGGAGACTTGGTATTTTCCAGAATTCAGGAAATTGAATTATCCACATAGGAAATATCACAGAGTAAACAATCCCACTGCTTTTTTTAATTAAAATATTCTGAAATAAAGATTAGCCCGTCAATGCCTTCTTTTATAGAGTGAAGGGGATTTTCTGCAAGGATAAAATCACATATTTATATGGTTATCATTTTTTTCAAGTCTGAATATGTAAGTGTGAGAAAACGCAGCTTAAATCCTACATAATTCATGGGCGGCATTAAAATCAAGCATGTGCAATTTTTGCTTATTTCAGTGAATGACATACAGTGATGGAGAACAGGGAATCACCTTTCCAAGAGGCAGCCCTGTGAATTACCATTTGAAATTAGTTATATGATTCCAACCGCTCAGCATTAGGCTGTGAAATATTAGCCCCCAGAGAGTAAAGGTTTAATCATCATTTGGTGAACTTCCTTTTTCCTCCCAGAGATAACCCCTGTATTAGATCATGTTTATTTTACTTGTAAATCACATCTCACTACAGGGGAGTTCAAAGTTTTAAAATGTTAGTTTTGGGATACAGTATCCAACCATTTTCTTCTTTAAGCTAGAGCTTCACTGTTTTTTGACATGATATCAATCTCTCTAGAAAAATAACATTGTCTTTTTGTAAAGCCTTAGGTTAAACTACAAATTTTGTGTGTGATACATTGTTTTTAATGAACTGAATTCTTCTCTTCAGCCTTATAATGCCTTCCTTGCTGCAATAAAATGGATAATGACAGAACTTGTCTTGTAAGTACAATTTGCTGCATGTTTAAAAAAGTATTATTGCTTATAAAAAAGTATTACTGCTTTTCTGTGTTAAAAAGTGAATTGGGAGACTCTGCTTCCAATAACCATTACATCATAATACTCTGCGATAACCTGATTGAACATCTCGAAATATTGACTGTTGAGTCCCCAAAATTATCTTTTATTAAGTTGTTCATGGTCACTGCTCATGCCCTTATATCACCATTTAGCAGACTAACAGCTTGCAATACACAAACCACATTTATTTATTGTGGTTACTGTTAAATGTAACATAGATGTCTGGCTGTTCTTAATGCAGCCTGGGTGGGCTGTGGTCAGAAGAGCAAATTGCCAGGCTGTCCACTGTGCTCCTTTGGATGTCTTGGCATGTGCAGGCGTGGGGGCCTGTGCACTCATGGGTCAGGGGCTTTCTCAGGTGTGATTTAATTGTTTACCTTGTCAAATTACAGTCCTGCTGGATGCATCTGTGACTTAGGTCAGACTTGAAATGGCACAAAGATGAAAGGCTTGACTTCCAGATGAGATATTGGACACATTACAGAAACACTGTGTCACACAGAAAGGAGGAATTCCATGGACCAGCATGGAAACCAGATCATTCAAGCTGCACCAAACTCTCTTATTCTTATTTTCCAGTTCTATGAGTTTAAGGCAGATTTCTTGCTATCTGATGAACAGACATTGTCTTCCTTATTGCTTCAATGTAACCTATGTTAACAAAGTTATAACTTCAAGTGGGGAGTAACTTCTAAATGTACATAAGAATCAGAAAATACAGGTAACAGTGAGATTTTGATTGAGAGCTGCTAGAGGATAGCAGCCATGAGCCTGAGAAGGAAATGACTGAATTTTGATCTATTTTCATTTATTTAGAGGATGATTTATATTACTTTTGTATTCTTTACTAGCAGTTGAGAAATTATGATTTTTGTGGAGTTGCATTGTGATATAATTTCATAAAATGGAGCTTGTTCTCTCTGTCCCCACCACCCTGCCCTACATACACACACACACACACACACACACACACACACACACAACTGAATACATTTGTGTTACAGTGTAAATTTTGAAAACATCCTTTGTAGTGTAGATCATAGTCTAAGTAGAGAATATTCCATTTGTATTTCTGAACCAAGGCAGGGGAAGCCCTTTGGTTTTTTGTTTGTTTGTTTTTGCGATACGCGGGCCTCTCACTGTTGTGGCTCTCCCGTTGCGGAGCACAGGCTCCGGACGCGCAGGCCCAGCGGCCGTGGCTCACGGGCCCAGCCACTCCACGGCATGTGAGATCTTCCCGGACCAGGGCACGAACCCGTGTCCTCTGCATCGGCAGGCGGACTCTCAACCACCGCGCCACCAGGGAAGCCCAGGGGGAAGCCCTTTGAATGTTGACTTTTTACTATGGACTCAGACTATAAAAAGAAAACAATTTCTGCCTATAAAGCAGATATTTCTCAAAAGAGTCCCTGAGTCTAGGTGAACCTGATTTCAGGGTTTGGCTGGCATTGGTGATAAAATAGTCTTTCACAAGTAAGACAAAACCTAGTGAAAATTCAGTGGTAACTGAACCAAGCACCTTGATATCTCCAGATGATGATGTTATTCTTTCAAATGAGGTGAGTGATGCTGAATAACACAGAATGTCACTTCAGTTCAGGGTGTGGGTGACCAAGTAACATTGGGCTTTTTCATTTCCTGTTTAGGTTCCTGGTGGAATTTAACCTCTGCAGTTGGTGGCACTCAGATATGACAGCTAAAGGTAAGCAGCAACTGGCTTCTCTTTCCTTGCTCAGAGTGATGAACCCGGGGTTCACTGGCTACTTTTCACCAGGGATGTGCTCATGTAAAACTACCCAGGACAAAGAAGTGATGATTTCTCCTCTCTGTCAGCAAAAGGCATCCTTTGTGCTAAGGGCAGCGCTGTTCAAGCTAACAAAAATTCCACAGGCTTCATTCAGCCCATGTTGAATGTACACTTTGACCTGTTTCCTTAACTAAGGCTTTGAGGTCATACACTGCACAGGAGAATTCTTCAAAAGCTAGTGGGCAGTGCTGAAATCTAAGGGTCATAGACACATTGCCTTTCTCAGGCTGAGTGAATGGATAACCATTACCTTTTTACCTTTACCTTCATAAAATATAAATCTGATCATATTACTTTCCCTGCTCAAAACTATCAATGATTTGAGCAGTAATTAGTAGAAAATATTAGAGGCCTGAGTTGTGGAGTTAGATTAGTATGGATTTGAATTCTGGCTCTGAGGTTGGCCTTTGTCAAGTTAGCTGATCGCCTCAAGCCTCAGTTTCCCCACAGTAGGCAAAGTAGAGAAAATAATAAAAAATATTTATCTCTTATCATTTGTGTGTATGTGTACATTTAATGGTAAGATAAATCATGATATATGCTGAGCATAGGACTGGAATATAGTAAGCCCTCAAAAATGGTAGCTGTAATTAATTCATGATAATGGTGATGATGATGTCGACTGTAAAAAAATGAAATATTGCCATTTGCAGAAGTATGGGTGGACCTAGATAACATTATACTTAGTAAAGTAAGTCAGACAGAGAAAGACAAATACTATACGATATCACTTATATGTGGAGTCTAAAAATAATACAAATGAATCTATATACAAAACAGAAAAAGACCCACAGACACAGGAAACAAACTTACGGTTACCACAAAAAAATGACAGCCCATTCACAGAAAGGCATAGGAAATACCTATGAAATTTAGTAATATAGCAAGAAAAACAATATGCAAAGTTGTATACACCCCCCAAAACCCCCCAATGGTTTGGGAGAAGGAGGATGTAGAGTTAAATCAGATCAGCAGTCAGGCCAATGGGAAGTCACTAGGCAGGAACCAGAATAGGAGATAGGGAAACTTTCATGCACCCCAAAGAAAATTTTACCTGTAACATGAACCTGCTTTTGTTTAAAATTGTACATGATTTGAAAAAGAAAGACGAGAAGGAACTTACATAATGGGTGCTTGTTATCTTTTTCTAGTCGTTTTTCTTTGGCTAGCATGTCCGCAATTTTATTATTAGGGGTGAAAAAAAGGTACATGAGATTAAGTGAGAGAAAAGGAAGAAAGGTGATCAATAGAGGCCAAGAGAATGGATGGCAGTTGGTTAGATGGCTGCTCTCTGCAGCACCAGTGCCTGGGGACACATCACCACTCCTTGCCAGTCAGGCTTTGAGCTCTGTTTCACCTAGAGATGAAGTGCCGCGACCCTGGAGTCAGGCAGCCTTCCTCTGCCACTTGCTAGCTGTGCGGTTGGACAAGTCGCTTGGTCTCTCTGGGCTTTGGTTTCCTTGCTTGTCCACAGAGATAACAATAGTCGTGATGTGGTTGTGAGCAGTGGATTAAACTGTGCATGCAAAGCCCACGTGCAAGATGGGGCACAGAGCGAGTCTCCAGTGTGGTGGGCGGGGCTCCAGTTTTGGGTGGTGGTGTCTCTTTTGGCTAAGACGTCTGGCTCTCTCTGAGGAGTGTGCTCAGTGCTGGGGCAGCAGGCTGGTGGTCTTCAGTGGTTCACTTTCTGGCATTCCTCTCATTTCTCTTCATATCCGCATGCCTGCACACCCTGGCTGAGCGGCTTTGGTGGTGATCATGTGCGCCCTCTTCACGCCAAGCTCCATTGCTGCTTCCCCCATTCTCACCTTGGCCTGCTTCCCTTCCCTGCTGCCACAGGCATCTGCCCTCACTCTTGCTCTGGTCCTTGACATGGACAATTAGTCGTAGAGTTTCTTTTAAGTGCCCCTCCCTGTGATCTCCACTTAGACCAGTGGTTTTCAACCTGGGGGTGATTTTGCCTCCCAGGGGTCACTGCAGTGTCTGGAGACATTTTTGGTTGTCACAACTGGGGATGGGAGAGAGCTATTGGCATCCAGTGGTTAGAGGTCAGAGATGCTGCTAAACATCTTACAACACACAGGACAGCCCCTCACAACAAAGAATTATCTGACTCAAAGTGTCAATAGTGCCACTCTTGAGAAACCCTGGTGTAGGGCAGGAGAGATGAATTAGGAAGGGGGATACGGTCTTGGCACTCATGACAGTTACAGAAACTTGTGAAAGTTCCCATTCTGAAATTTCACATCCCTTCTCCCTTCTTCCCCCTCCACCTTAGCTAAGAGGAATGACGTGATGCTTCAGGTCTCTGTTTTCTGTCTTAGGAAGCTTTTTAAACAACGCTTAGTAGGTAATTCCAAATCCTCTCACTCCATCGACAGACTGCACAAAGAGCTTGTCAGATAGTTACATCATCTGCAAGTTGTGTGCCAATATATAGTGCTTTTTCCTTCCCAGAGAGCTGGAACTAGGTTCTCTTCAGATCCCTTCAACATACCTGAGAGGTGGGGACTGCTAGAATGTGTCACTAAGGCTCTCTGAGGCACGTAAGTCAGGCAGCTAATAGGAAATGGACTCAACCCCAAACCAAGGCCAGCCACCTCCGCTGGAGGACGGCGAGAGACGCACCTGGCTTTCTGTGAGTCCCAAGTTGAGCAAGCTGCCGCCCGTGGATTGTCTCATTCAGACCTGCAGCCCTCTGCTGGGCATGGCTATGACTTTTTCTATTTTATAGATGAAGAAACTGGTTCAGATGGTGAATGCACTCGCCCACAGAGCTGCAATCATCTGGATCTTTGTTAGAGGTAAACGTGAATCTCAGACCCAGTGTAAGCAGGGAAAATTCCAAGCACCATAACAATATTGCCTTGAGAGGTTTCTTCATTCTAAATTTACCCTTCCCTCACTGGATAAAGACCCTGAGCTGAGACATACATCTTTGTTTAACTAAAAATGGAATCCATAATTACACTGTTTATCTGCTTCATTTCCTTAATGAAGGGGACTGTGGAAGGCCATTTCTGCTTGATTATCACAAAGGTATCATTTTGGCGAAGCTGCACAAAGAGAACGGAGCTTGCTGGCCCCGGTTATGAATGGGGGTGCATTCACAGAGACAAAAGAAGAGGAAGGCTTTTCAAATGGCAACTCTATTCATTCCTGATTGTCTGCACATAATTACTGTGAACCCAAGTCAGTTATTCTCATCAGGGACATTTGTTGCTAAGGGAAAATTAAAGAAATCCAATTGTGTGGATGCTCCATTGGGTGCTTCATTGTGAGTGAGTGATAGGTTCTGGCGGCTTCATCCTGAGACGTCCAGTGTAACTGGGGTGGGAGGCAGACAGGGTGATGGCCAAGAGCCCAGGCTCCGGGACGTGACCATGTGGATGTGCATTTGGGCTCCATTACATAGTGGTGTGACTGTGGGCAAGCAGTTAACTTCATTTCTCTGAGTTTTAGTGTCTTCGTCAGTAAAACAGGATAGCAGCAGGGCCTTGCTCACTGTGTGATGGTGAAGATTCCATCCATCAAAGGGTCTAGCACGGTGTTTGGCATGTAGTATGCGCTTAGTGAGTGTTGGCTGCAAAGGTGGTGGTGGTTGTTTTGCTATTTAGGTAATGATCATGACGAGTCACTTTCTTTGGGACTCAAGGCAGGCTATGTCTGCTTTCTGAATTTCAGTTTTCCCTTCTGAGAAAATAAGGAATCAGTCTATCTGAGCTCCATGATGCTTGTGTACCTACACCTTTGTAAGATAATGAGTTTTAAATGCCTGAGAGTTAAAACAGTACCCATCAGATGACTGGCAGCCTTAGTTATTGGTTTGAAATTCCATAGATAAACAGTAATGACTAGCAAATATATGTGGTGTTTTCCATAGCACTCCAGACAAAGAAAGGTCTTCATAATAAACCATGTTATTTAGATTAAATGTGGCCATGGTTTTATATGATAATTTGTGTGTTTCCCAAAAGTACCAAGCAACTTCCAGCCAATCTATAGTCATACTGCAAATAGACTCAATGGCTCATCACCACATTAGTACGGGTGCCCTACAGTTGTCAGAGGAATAAGAATTTCATCTCTAGAAAAGATCAGAGCCAAATGAGTCTCTCCATTGAGAGCGCTGGACTCATTCCATTGTAACTGGGCCCAGACAATTAGAATTAGAGATGGTGCAATTATCAGGGTTATTTAAATCACGTGTGCTGCCTATCTCAGCCTGCCCCAAATACCTTTCTTCCTTTCTCTCATTGGCCAAACTTCATAAAGCAGTTAAATATATATACATGTGCTGGAGCCAGGCGGCTCAAGTTCAAATTTTGGCTCTGCCACATACGCACTGGATGAATTTGGACAATTCACCTCATCCTCTCCTCCATTCACTAATCTCCAAAACAGAGATAACAATTGTTCTTACCTCACAGTTTGAATTTTTTTAAATTTTGTCATGTTGTACTGTTAAATAAATAAATACATGTAAAGCAGAACAACATCTGGCAGATAAATTTCTTAATAAATGTATCCATTACCATCATTGGGTTATTATATGCCATCTGCATGCTGTGCCGTATCCACTTATAATCTGTGCTTTTGTTTACTTAACCTTTATTTCATTTCAACTGACTGACTTTTTGAAAGTTAGATACCTTAAATATTAAAGGGAAGCTTCCCAAATTAAAAGTCAGTATTGTTTGCCATATAGAGAAATCAATTGTAAAAATAAGAACCCTGAAAATAAACTATGTTATCATATTGTAGTCAGGTCCTCTGAGCTTCATGTTTGGCCTCCCTAGGGTAAAGGAGAAAAAAGCAAATGAATGAAAGATGGAAGAAACTCCATCAAACAAAGACATCTTCCTGACAAAAATTGAGGACACTGACAAAGAAATGGGAAGAGAATGATGTTCCCACCCAGCGCCTCTGTGTTGTGACTGTTGGACCTCAGCCTCCTGAAATCCCCTTGCCTTCCCCCAAGGCAGGCAATTTGCCATTAGGGACCGAGAGTCTCCCATTTCCTTTGTGTTATTTGCCTGAAAAACACCATTCAAGAGAATTATTCATTTACTCAGCAAGCATGTAATGACACTTCCTATGAGTTAGCACCGAAGGCTCAGGGGATAGACAGTGTTCGGGACCTGGCCCTTTGAGGGCATGACGACTACCCGCGTGGTACCCTCGGTGGAGTCAGGATCAGGGAGGCAGCCATCTGCTTGCCATTGTAACCAAACAGCAGTGGCTCAAAAAGGCTGACAGTCTGAGGATTCAATGAAGTAACCTTCACAGTAGAAGTGGTCCTGGCAGTAGGCACAAACACTTAAGTAGCCCTAGCAATGTACCAGCCACTTTTAGTGGATGAATTCATTTGATCTTCAAACGACCATGTGGAGTTGGTTCCCATTTTGCAGATGAGAACACTACAGTGTGGCGAAATTAAAAACCCACCTCATGTCATACAGCAGTGGCAGAATTCACAACACCCAGAATTTGTGCTCTTAGCTGTCAATACTACACAATTAGCCCAACTCCTGGCATGTAGATGGTAACATGAAGGCTGCTGGGGAGACGGGGCACACATGTGTGTGAAAATATGTGTGTGTGTCACTCTGTTAAGAGTTGTACATGCATTAGTCTGTTTATTCCTCAGAACAACCCTATGAGTTAGCATGGGAATCTCCCCTTAATGTCAGTGACCAGTTCCTGAAAATCACATTATGCATAAAAAGCTGACTGAGTCTACTTCCATTCGTTTTAAATAAGAAAAATTACAGGTGTTATTCTTCAACCCCAACCAATTTCCTCAAAATAATTAAAGCTCAGTAAAAAGGCTTGTATATTAAAGAATCACGTTAGGATGCAAATGCTTAAAACATGGCTTCCTGATCACCCAACAATTATCTGGTTGTTACCAAACAGTTGTTTTGCATTCAGTAACCCTCTGATGTCTCACTTAGTGCCGGCAGCCTCCCAGATGGTCATTCTACAAAACATCTACTGGTAGTTCTGACATCCAAACCAGTTGCATTTGGAATGTAACTGGAGACTTTGTTACAAATATGTATTTATATTTCTATATAAACATCAGCCAAAAACTTTATACAAAGTTTAGTTATTGGAAACCTATAAGCAAGCGTTCTACCAGGAAAATGTTCATGAATAGATCTCCTGTGAAGAGTACCTGTACTACTAGCATCTCCATTTTACAGACGAGAATACTGAGGATTAGCTAAAAGCAGTGAAGCAGGAATTTGTACTCCAAACTGCTCTGACTTAACCACTATGCTATAGTATCTGTCATCATTATCATCATCCCTAATGGCTTCATTAGAATGCTAGCTTTCTTTTTGTTGTAGTTGTTGCTATTATTTTTATTATTATTATTAATTGACATTAGCACTCACTATGTTCCAAGTACTGCACTAAGTACTCAACATATGTTATTTCATTGAAATCTCACATCAGCCTCTATTAAAAGAACTATATTATCCCAATTTACAAATTTTAAAAAATTGAGACTTAGGTTTTGGAATTTGCCCACTGGACATAACTTGTTTAAACTAATTAATCCACCACCAAGCCCTTACCAAGTACCTACTGTGTACTCATCCACGTGCCAAGGTTATTTAGTACTATCTTACTGGACAGGGAACTTCATAATAGTAGGATTAGGTTCATGGCTGTGTTTCAAAGACATTATGTATTTTACTATTCCATATTTCAATTTTGTTTTTGTAATAAAACCATGCAATTGTATCATGACCCTAAATAATACGGTGTAACTTGTATTTTATACATTTATTCAGATGTGTATACGTGTGTGTGTGTGTGTGTTGTTGTCACTGCTAAGTTCAAGTAAGTATGAGGTCAGAGACCGAGTGACTGATGTTGTCCCAGAAAGTAGAATTCTTGTGATGCATAAATGATAGTTGATCACGCCAGCAGAACTGCTTGAGGAATTATAGCTTATAGAGTTGCTTGGCAGATGAAATCACTTGACTAATTAGAAAATAATGCATTATGCTGTGCCTAGAAAAATCACAGAGCAGCAGGAGCGGAACTGCGTTCTGAGTTACTGTGGGCTGCCAGTCACAACAGAGCCTGTGCCTTGTATTCTTTATCATTTTTTTTTTTCTTATTCCTATAGCCCAGAAATTGAAACAGACCCTGGAGCCTTGTGATACTGAATATCCAGCGTTCGTCTCTGAGCGCACCATCAAGGAAACCTCAGGGAACATTGCTTGTGAAGACTGCTCCAAGTAAGCACCCCCTGCCCCTTTCTGCTCAGTATAGAACTTTTCCAGACAGGCCATTGTGGCTGGCATGAGTAGGATTACGTTGAGAGCTGGAAACATGGCTGCCCTCTTGTGTGAGGAAGTATTTCCATCAGCTTGGAAGAAACATCACTTGGCTTTGCTAGAGAGATCATTTAGAGTTTGGGAAACATTCAAATGTATGAAAATACATCCTAGAATATAAGAGATTTTTAGTTCAGTTTGTAGGTGCGTGGAAAAAGTCCTGGTTGGTTTTTTTTCCCAATTGACAGTTGGCAATTTCAGCTATTTGGGGAAATTTCTCAGGTGTTTTTATTGAAGGCGCCAAGCCTTCAGGATTCACCCAAATCTGACATATTGGAAATGATTTCTTGGAGGCTTAATATGAGAGTCCCTGATTACTAATGAGGTCAGGCCTCTTTCACTGGTTTTATTGGTCATTTGCGGTCTTTGGCCTCTTCATTCCTGTTGGCAGTTCTCTACTGGGTGGTGGATCTGTTCTTACTGATTTGGGCATTCTTTCATTTCAGGTATGATTTCTTTGCAGTTCTCTGCTCTGTATGTGTCTTATTCTTTGGTCTATCTCTTCACTTTTTATAGAAGTCTATAGATGCATATAAAATTTTTTTTGATTTTATTTTAATGTAGTCTAATTTATTCTTATTTTCTTCTTTAATTTGTGCATTTTGTGCCTTGTTTCAGAAAATAGTGTCTGCCCTAATGTAATAAATATATTCTCATATATTTTTATTCTGAACACTTTAAAGGGTTGCCTTTCACATTAGAACTTTAATCCCTCTGGAATTTACTTGTGTGAGTGTCATGAGGTAGGGTCTAATTTGGTCCTTTTCCATATAGTTGGCCTGTTAACCAGCACTTTATATTGAGTACTTTTTATTTTCCAATAGATATATTATGATACCTGTATCATGGGCTGAATTCCCATCTATTTGCAGATCTGTTTTCAGGTTTTATGGTTTGCCAAAACCTGTGTCAACACAATATCTCTTTAATTATTATACCTTTGTAATGTGACTTGATAGCCAGGAGAACAAATCTCTTTTTCTTATTCTTCTTCTAAATCAACTTGACTATTATTGCCTTTTTACTCTTTTGTATTAATTTTAGAATCAGCTTATTAATTTTGATGAATTATGCTAGGGTTTTGATTAAAATTGCTATAAGTTATAGATTAATTTGAAGATAAGTGCTATTTTTAATGATACTGGACCTTCCCACTTATAAGCTGAATATCTCTCTTTATTTACATACCTATCAATACAGTTTTATAATTTTATGTTAGATTTATACCTAAGCAGCTTATGGTTTTTTGCTATCAGAAATGGCATATGTTTAAAACTACATTATCTGATCAGTAATTGCTAACACATGAGAAGCTCACTGATTTCTGTATATTAAATATCCTGCATCCAACTGCTAACTGCTCTTTTAGATCTAATAGTTTGTGTATGGGTTCTCTTGGACTTTTTTTCGTACAGAGTAATATCATTTGTAAAATTTTCCTTTCTAATCTCTACACTTAATTATTGTTTTATTGAACTGGACTTCTGATACATTTGTTGAATAGAAGCTGTGAGAGTAGACAACTGTGTCTTGTTCCTAATTAAAGGAATTGCTTGTAATAATTCCATGTTAAGTATGATGTTTGATATAGGGTTTTTAAATTGTAGGAATATATAAATAATATAAAATTTACCATTGTAACTATTTTTAAGTGTACAATTCAAGGGCATCAAGCACATTCCAGTGTTGTGCAACCTTAATTATTATCCATTTCCTAAATTGCTATGAGTTCTTGGTAACCATTTATTAGGTTAAAGAAAACGTCTTCAAGTGTACTTGTTGCTCTGGTTGTTACTGTTTGAAACTTGAATGGATGTTAAAATTTATCGAAAATTTTTTCTACATCCATTATTAAAATACTTTTGAAATGTGTTGTTACATTCATATAATTTAAAAAATTTTTAAATCATGAACTATATCATATATATTATAAATATCTTTAATAGTAGATGGGTTATCTAATATGAAAACATACTTGCTTTCCCAGGATGGACTTTCATTGTCATGATTACAAAAAATGGAAAACAAAAACCATATTACTAGATTCATTTGGTCATATTATATTGTGAATATTTGCATTTGTGCTCAAAAAGGAGAGTGGACTATACTTTCCCTTACTTGTCCTGTCATTTGGCTTTGCTATTAAGGTCATTTTATTGTCCCAAAATTACCTGAGGAGTCTTCTTTCTTTCTCTGATATCTTTAACATTTTGTGTAAGATTAAATTATAGTTCTTGTAGATTTAGTAAAACTACCCATAAAACTGTCAGTGGCTGATGGGTTTTTGCTTATTTGTTTGTTTTTGTATGTGAGTAAATTTTCAGTCACTCAGTTTCCTTAGTGGTTAGATATCTCTTTGGAATTTCCATTTCTTTTTTAAATGATTTTGGTGATTATATTTCTGAGAAAATTGCCTGTTTCATCTCACTCTTCAAGTTTATTGCATACATTTGTAAACAGTGTTCTCTTTTCATTAAAAATGTTACCATATTTGTGATTTTGCCCCTTTTAAATCACTCTCTCCTTCTTCCCCTGTCTCCCTCCTTCGCACCCTCTTGTGTTTCCTCCTTTCCTCTTTCCCTCCCTCTCCATACTGGCGCAGATAGGTTGGTTTTGTTTTTCTTTCCAAAGAACCATCATTTAGTTTGTTTCATTCTCTCTGTTTCTTTGACTTTCTGTTTCATTTATTTTGCTTCTTATCTGTATCATTACCTTTCTTCTATGTTTTTTGGATTTACCCTGTTTTTTATTTTCTACGATTTTGTGTTTGATGCTTAACTTTTTCAATTTCATTTTTCAGCTTCATTTATATATATTATATATATATATATATATATAAACTTTCTCTCTACATTCCAGTTTATCTTTGTAAATTTAATATAGAGAGTTTCATTGTTATTCAGCTCTAACAATTTTCTAACTTTCACCATTTTTTTGATCTGTAAATTTTTAAATAGTGTTTTAAGATTTCCTAATATATGGGTTTTGAGGCTATCTTTTTTAAATTATTGATATCTAATTAAATGACATCGTGATCTGTATAACACATGTGTTTTAGTATGTGTGGAAACTTGCTTTGTATTCTAGTATTTGTCCCCGTGTTTTTGAAAGCAAGTTTTATTCTCTAAAAGCTGAGTACAGGGATTAATATGTATCCATTGTATCAGGTGTGTTTATGTGTTTCAAACTTTTTTTTTCTTGGTCTGTTTTAGATGTCAAGCTCTCACCAGGCTTATGGATTTTTCCATTTCTTCATGTCATTCACTCTGTTTTGCTTTCTATATTGTGAAGCTATATTACCATGGATATTTCTGTTCAAGACTGGTGTAGCTTCCTAATAAATCATTCCTTTTATCATTGTGTAATAACACTCTTTATATGAAAGTCTTTATGCTTTAATGCCTATTTTGTTTGATAATAGCATAGGATTAGTAGTTCTTCTTTAGATAATATTTTCTAGGCATATTTACCCCTTTCCCTCCATTTTCAAGTATTTTTTTTTTGTCATTTTGCATTAGGATTTTGTATTGTAAATAGAATATAGCTGGATTTGAAATTTTATTATCTCTATTATTGCAGATTTAATCTTTTAAAATGTATTTTGCTTACCAATAAGTTTGTATTTATTTCTATTGTCATTTTGTGTTTTCTTTTCCCCATGCTTTTTCTTTTCTTTTCTTTCTTTCTTTCTCCCTCTTTCCTTTCTTTTCTTTTCTTTCTTTTTTGCCTTCTGTTGTATTCATTGTGTCTTCTCCATTCCCTTTTTTCCCTTACCAGTATACTAGTGTATACTAGAAAAGTATACACTCTGTTCTTTTGCTAGTTACCCTTAACCTTTTAAACATATTTCAATTGGTCAGGATCTCTTCCTTCCTCCAGAACAAACAAAACCTTAGAACCTCTAACTTGGATTACATCTCATCTCTTTCATGTAGTATTTTCTAACATTTTAGTTCTACTGTGTTCTCAACCTACCAAATATTTTATTACTGTTATTGCTGCCTATAGTAAATGAGATGTTTACCAAGTTGTTAACTTACCATTGCCTTTGTTTTTAACCATTGTTTTTGGTTCTAGAGTACATTAGAAGTTATTTTCAGGAATGATCTGGGAGTGATAAATTATCTCATTCTTTATTTGAAATTTCTTATTTAATATGTACTCTGCAGTGATAATTTAACTTCATACTATCTAAATTGATACTTTGAAGATCCTATTCCATTGTCTTATGACTTTTAGGTTTGCACCTTTATAAGTAGTCTGGCTTTTCATTCCCCTCTGATGGCTTTTAAAGTGTGTCTCTTTAATGTTCTGAAGTATCACTGAAGTGTATTTAGATTTAAATGTATTTCTGTTTGTGTACTTTATTCTACATAATTTCCTTAAGCATATTAGAGTTCACTAATTTCCTTTTGATTGTGTCTAGTCTGCTGCTTAAAGAGTCCATTGAGATTTTTTAAAAATACTGCATTCTCTTTTTAAATTGAAGTATAGTTGATTTACAATACTATATTAGTTTCATGTGTGCAAAGAATCCATTGAGATTTTAATAAGGTTGTCTTTTTTATTTCTAGAAGTTTTATTTGCTTATTTAAAAAATCTGTATATTTTTTACATAAAGTCTTATTCTTAAGTTTCTATAACCAATAATAAAGGCCTTTTAAGATTATTTTAATAGTTTAAATTTTGAAGGTACCAATCCTGTTGTTTCTTGTGTCTACTTTCTTTCCTGGTTGATTATTTTCTCATGTGTTTTGTCATTTTTTACTGTGAGCTGATCTTTGCTATTGATTATTTTTGTGGGAACAGAATAGAGACCGAGTTTCTCTTCACAGTAGATTTACATTTGGGCTTCAATCATGTATCCTATTGCTATTGACTGCCCAGAAGTAATTGTTATG